TGAAATATTTGATGTCTGAGAAAAACAATGGTGATTGGTGAAACTTGCTGTGGTGTGCAATTTCATAAACCTGTAAGTTTGAGGACAAAAACATTACACTTTCATAATCATTTCACCATTTTTAGATAAAACCCTCACTTCCACACTAAATTGCTACACTTTACGACATAACCTCCAGTAAAAGAACAAAAAAAAAACATTTTAAACAGAAAGAAAAAGTATTAGCTTACCACACTCTCAGAATTATGGCGGCATCTCCCGGCACAAAAATCAAACACAGTCTTGTATGTCCCTGCTAAGGAGGAAAATTTGGTGATCTTGCAAATGTAAATACATCTATAATCGAAGCTGCTGCAACACTACAAGTCACCTGCTGTACCCGGCATTGAAACTTTTACCTTAACCACTTTCTGAAGAAGCGTCACCACAGGTTCGAGAATCCAATGACAGAGCATCACAAACATTGCCTAAAACAACAACCAATCAAGCTTAAAAAAAAGTCTTATCTTGTCCAAATAGATTAAACTCTGTGAAAGTTAATCTTTAAAGAGTGAATGGGAGGGGAAATTGCAGACCTTCATCATCGGAGATCAAATACCTTCCTTGGACAGTTGTTCTGCAACTCCGCTCTTCTAAAATTCCAATATCCTTCCTGCAAATTTCAATCTAGATCTTAAGGAGTTACTGAATCAAGCGAGGGAGACAAAACAGGGGTACACAATTATTAGATATAAGGATGTTACCAAAAATTAATCACCTGATTGCAGAAATTCTCAACGAAAATAACAATCCTGTGTGAGTTGTAGATGAGCGAGGAACAGACGAAACCCATATGTTGAAATTCTTGTCGGAGAAAAAACAAATCTTTCGAGCAGATTATGCTCCGAGCCTCCGACTCCGAGTGTGATGGTGTCATCGGGGGATCGATTCATCTATGCTTATCATCTCCTCCTTCATGTCTCTCTGATTTTGGTGTATCGATTATTTATGTACATATTTTGGATTTTAATTAATCAAATTTTTCATTGGAAAGAGAAAGATATTATATTTTGGATGAGACTCTTTGGCAGAAACTATTTTTTGTTTGACTGAATTGATTTCAAGAGATTAGTTCACGATAAATTTTATTTTTGTTTTTCAAATTTTTTTTGGTGCTGATGTGTCAGAAAGAGGGGTGTTGAGGTGTTATTTTTTTGTAAGACATAACCTAGTTTTTATATAATTAGGTATATAATTCGCGCTACCCGCGAGTCTGTATTAATGGTTTGTTGTAATTCTTTTTTTAGCTACTATTTTTTAAATTATTAAAACCATAATATATTTATCGAAATTTTTATTTATATAAAAGAAGTTAATAAATAATGTGTACTTTTCTCCTATTTTTATTTATAAAATTTTTAAAATTATTAGGTAAAATAATAACAATGACACCTATCGAATTCTCCAACTTTGACATACATATATATTTGATTTACAAAAAGATTTGCTTGCTAAGATTTTGGTATTGTTTTCTGTTTTCCATAAATTTCTATAGTTCTTTTTTCTTGAAGGTTTATGTGTTCAAATATTAAATTTTTTTATTGAAAGTCTTATTGATGTTGTGTACCATTGCATATATAAATCCATGGTTCATGTTGATTCACATTTAATTTTGTTAGAAAGCTGCAATGATCATGCAAAACCATTTTTTCCTTCTCCACCATGCCTTCCAAGAGTTATAGCTTATATTTTAATTCAGTTTTCATTGATATCTATTTTTTACAGTCTAATATTTGATCATTTTAGTTTTCTAACTTGTAGGATCAGTGGTGTGGAGTCTTTGCATTATTTTTCACTGTTTTTATCTTTTGTGTGCACTATGCATGCTTTAATTTGAATATTTTATCTACATATATCAATTTAAGTTTGATTCATAACTATGTCATACTTTATTATTTAAATAGAATTTCAGAATGTGTTTTTGATGTTGGTTAAGATATAAGTAGTGGCTATGTATAGAAATCAGATTTTACTACTTGTTAAATATCGAATGTAAAATAATTTATATAAAGTTGTTCTTTGTTAGTTTTTAAATCAGAAACATCAAATGTATTAATCATTGCATATTTGAAAATATATTTGGTTTAGAAACTCATGTAAACACCTATTGCAACTTTAAATAGTTATTCATTGTTGATACTAATACTTTAGAAATCAGGAAGCAACTTTTTGAAACTAATTTCAAATTAATTTTGTTTTAATTTTTTTTTGTTTTTTGATAGTATTTTTTTATTTATTGTAATTTATATACTTTTTGTATTTTTGATATACTTAGGACTTATATTCTTTTTTTAAGCTCTTTTGTTGTTGATTTTCTATATAAGTATCATAGACATCACATTAATTTCTTTTATACAAATACTTTTTTTTTGTTAAATTTTTTTTTTTAAATTAATTCTAATTGTAGTTATAATGCTGATTTGATATGTTCTAACTGTTGAATCTATATCTTAGATAATTTTTTTTGTCAAAAGCTTATAACATCATTTGTTTATTTTAGTTAAGTTTTTCAAAAAATTTAGCCCAAGTTAATTTTCTTTTATACGACTTTTTCTTTTGTTAATTTGCCTGTTTTGATAATGATTCTTATTTTTTAAAAGATAAATTTATAACATGTTGAAAGCTAAAATTGTTTTTAATAAAAACATGTTTAATTTTTTTATCATATCATAATAGCTTTAAAACAGTTTGGTTTTATATCTAAAAACACAATGGGAAATTAAAGTATGATGAGGTAATGCATGTGAGCATACTTACCATGTCAAATAGTCAGTAGTTGCTTCAATATCTTTGTCATAAAAACCGGGTGGAAGAAGTGGAGTGCAAAAATAATAATTTTACATGATGTAATTTAAAATATGGTGTTAAGAGTTAAATAAATTTTATTATCTAATTTATTTTAGGATTCATCATATTTTCATAAAGAATAGTAAAACAATGGTAATTATATGTTTGTGATTTCAAACCTTAAAATGTTTTTGAGTTCATAATTGTGGCCAGGAACATGATAGGTTTGACAACACTTTTCATTATTTTATTCGGAAATTAGCCAAAGAGCAACACGAACAATTGACCCACTGTTTAGAAAATGTAAAAAGGTGCTAAGTAAAGATAGATTTTATTACAAATTAGAATATATAAATGAGTTGTTAGGAAAACATACTTATCTTTTTAATTGAAAGTGAACATTTATTTTATTATGACTTCTACCATTAGTGATGTCATTAGCTTAACTGGACAAAGAAAGTTCTCGTCGTTGATGATGATCAGTTTTCTAATAGCATATACATAGTATATGACGTTATTATATATTTGTATATTTGCAATGTATTATAAGTTATAAAATTTTTAATATATGCTATGAGTTTTAACTTTTACTATATTAGTTTTTTTGGTTAGCTTGAATTTTTTCCATTAAATTTTAAGGGATTTTATATTTTGGTTTTTTTTAATATAATTTTCTTTTCAATTTGTTACTTAAGCTTTTTTTTCATCTATAAAACAAAATTAATATTTTTTATTTATTTTCTTGTCAATTAATTTAGAAGTTAGAATTTTTCTAATTTATATTATAAGTTTGAGATTTTATGATATTTTTTTTTTGTTAGTTTATCTCTTTTGAAAATAAATTTCTATTTTATTTTGAAGGATACTATTTTTTTTTGGTTTTTAACATAATTCTCTTTTCTAGTTTTACTTAAGCCTTTTTATTTTAATTTATCTATAAAACAAAATTAATGTTTAAAATTTTGACAGATGCTATATTTTGGTTTTTTTAACACAATTGTCTTTTTTATTTGTTATTTATAGTTTTTATTTTGATTTTTTCATCTATAAAACGAAATCAATATTCTATGTTTTTTTTGTCAATTAATTTAAAAGTTCAAATTTTCCTAATCTATATTATAAGTTAGAATTTATATGATATTGATTTTTTTTTAATTTAACTCTTTTGAAAACAAATTTCTATTTTATTTTTAAGGATACTATATTTTTAGATTTTTAACAAAATTTTATTTTCTATATGTTACTTAAGTTTTTTTATTTAATTTTTCCATGATTAAAACAAAATTAAGGTTTTAATCATACTTAACATTTTTCTTATTTAATAAAAAATGCTGATGTAGACCAATAATATCGATTTTTTTTTATTTTTTAGATATAATTTTATTCTCTATTTGTTACTTAAGCTTTTTTCATCTATAAAAAGAAATTAATGTTTTTATTTTCTTGTCAATTAATTTAGAAGTTATAATTTTTCTAATCTATATTATAAGTTTGAGCTTTTATGATATTGAATTTTTTTTTTTTAGTTTATTTCTTTTGAAAATAAATTTCCATTTTATTTTGAAGGATTCTATTTTTTTGGTTTTAAACATAATTCTCTTTTCTATTTTTACTCAAGCCTTTTTTATTTTAATCTTTTTATCTATAAAACGAAATTAATGTTTTAAATTTGACAGATGCTATATTTTGGTTTTTTTAACACAATTTTCTTTTCTATTTGTTATTTATGTTTTTTTATTTTGATTGTTCTATCTATAAAATGAAATTAATATTTTATATTTTTTTGTTAATTAATTTAGATTTATAATTTTTCTAATCTATATTATAAGTTAGAACTTTTATAATATTGGTTTTTTTGTTAATTTAATTTTTTTGAAAACAAATTTCTATTTTATTTATAAGGATACTATATTTTTAGTTTTTTAACATAATTTTCTTTTATATATGTTATTTAATTTTTTATTTAATTTTCTATGATTAAAATAAAATTAAACTTTTAATCATATTTAACATTTTTTTATTTAATAAAAAATGATGATGTGGACCAATTATATCAAATATTTTAATTATATATAGACACACTTAAAAACATTTAGTATCAACTTTTATTAGTAATAGACAGAGTTTAGTTGGCAAAATAAAACCAAAAAAAACTAAAGCCAAAAGTCCCAGAAAAAAAACAAAAAGCCAAAAAATAAACCAAAACAGAAAAAACGAAGAAAAAGAAAAGAACCGTTTCTTCTTCATCTTCTTCGTCTCGTCTTCTTCTTATTCTTTTCCGTGACGAAGGTCAAAAAGAGGAAAACAATTCCCAATCCAAATTCCACCGCTAACCCGAGAACAAACATGGTGAAGCTTCACTGTTTCACGAATTGAAAGATCTCCTCTTCACTATTACACCTTCCTCGTCGTAATCGCCGACGGCTTATGCTGGTTTTCCGATCGTTATCTCCTCTCCGGTGTCTACGGTGACCGGGAATCTCTTCTAAACCGATTTTATAATTACTATGAAGAGCAACGCCAAGGTCAATATCATCAACGGAAATCATAACCAGACGAAAAACGGTACTAATGGCTTTTTGCCTAATTCGCTAAAATTCATCTCTACCTGTATCAGAACCGCTTCCTCCGGCGTCCGCTCAGCTAGCGCCTCCGTCGCTGCTTCTCTCTCCGCGGATTCGCAAGAGCTTAAGGATCAGGTTTAGTCTCAATTGGTTTCTCCGTTTTCGTGAATCTGAGATTTTTGATTTTGGGTCTTTCGTCTTTACTGAGAATCAAAATCTGATCAGTTTGATTTCTCTTCCAATTGGGTTCATGTTCGTTTCATTAAATTTGGGAATAGGTTTGACTTCTACGAGAATGATCATGGCATTGAAATTCTACAAGTTTTGTTAGTCGTGTTGCTTGTCACAGATATATAGAGCTTTTAAGTTGCTCCATTGTAGAAGAAAGGAGAGATTTTAGATAGTTTAGATTTTGATGAAGCTAAAATTGTGATCTCTGATGCTTACCATTTTGTTTTGATCAAGCAAGAGTTTGGTCTTCGTTTGATAATTTGCACATTGAAATCTGATCAGTTTGATTCCTCTTCCAATTGGGTTCATGCTCTTTTGATTAGATCTAGGAATATTAGCGTTTTTTAGGTTTGACTTCTACGAGAATGATAATGGCATTGAGATTCTACAAGTTTTGTTAATCATGATGCTTGTTACAGAGTATTTCATTGCTTCATTGTAGAAGAAAGGGGAGAGTTGGTTTTGATCAAGCTTTTGAACGTGATTTGAGTTAGATTTGATGCGAAATTATGATCACTGGCGCTTAAGATTTTGTTTTGATCAAGCAGGTGTTGTGGTCTTCCTTTGATAGACTTCACACAAGTGAATCATCTTTCAAGAACGTTCTCTTACTAGGTTATACAAACGGGTTTCAAGTCCTTGATATAGACGATGCAAGCGATGTCAGCGAGCTCGTCTCCAGGCGAGATGATCCGGTTACGTTTCTACAGATGCAGCCATTACCTGCTAAATGCGAAGGAATCGAAGGATTCAGATCATCGCATCCAATACTTTTAGCAGTTGCTGATGAAGCCAAGGCTTCTTCAGGTCCTATAGTCACTGGCAGAGATGGATCAGTTAAAAATGGTTACGATGATCTCCTCTCTCTCTCTCCCACAGTCGTGCGATTCTATTCACTTCGGTCTCATAACTATGTTCATGTTTTGAGATTTCGATCTACTGTCTATATGGTTAGATGCAGTCCTCGGACTGTAGCTGTTGGCCTCTGTTCTCAGGTCAGCACACAACTTTTTTTCTTTTGTGGTTTTAGGGATGTTAGTGAGCGAGGCATTTGCTTAATGATATGACGTTTTGATGCAGATATACTGTTTCGATGCCCTAACTCTCGAAAACAAATTCAGCGTACTCTCTTATCCGGTTCCTCAGCTTGGAAACCAAGGGATATCCGGTGTCAATGTCGGGTACGGTCCAATGGCTGTAGGGCCGAGATGGTTAGCTTATGCTTCAAATAGTCCTTTGTCATCCAGTATTGGTCGTCTTAGCCCTCAGAATGTTACTCCTCCTGGTGTTAGTCCGTCTACTTCGCCGAGCGGTGGTAATCTAGTGGCGAGATACGCCATGGAGTCGAGTAAGCATTTGGCTGCGGGTTTACTCAATTTGGGAGATATGGGTTACAAAACTTTGTTTAAATACTGCCAAGATCTCAAACACGATGGTCCTGGTTCGTCTCTTTCGTCTAGTCCCGGCTGGAAAGTTGGTCGTGGCGCATCTTCAACAGAGTCTGACCTTGCTGGCACGGTTTGTCTCCTAGAAAAAGCATTTTAACTTGATTGTATTGAAACCTGGCTCTTTGTTCATTTACTTGAGAATTTGTAGATGACTTACGGCTTGACTGCTATGTCTTCAACTAAATAGCAAAATAGCGGAATAGCTCAATAGTCCAAAGCGGGATAGGGAAAAATTAAAACTGAATAAACTTAAAATGCTAAAAAGCTACTGCTTCATAGATGAATAATTTTTTATCTCAGTTAGTTATAATAGATTGGAAAACAGTTTACTAATTTTCATTTTATTTTCATTCCGTGCTTATTACTATGGATGATATTAGTAACGTAATGTAGACAGAAACCATTTATTAACTATCCGCAAACAACTTGATTAGGATAGTCAATATGTTATATCGTTTTGTCTTTATTTTGTGCTGCACTTTTGTTTTTGGTTATTCGAAGACTCACACACTTATCATTATGAACAGGTTATTATCAAGGATTTTGAATCCCGAGCTATTATATCACAATTCAGAGCTCATACTAGTCCAATCTCTGCTCTGTGTTTCGACCCAAGCGGCACTCTATTAGTAACAGCCTCGATCCACGGTAACAATATTAACGTTTTCCGGATTATGCCATCCCCTACAAAGAATGGTCAAAGTGCTCAAAGCTATGATTGGAGCTCCACTCGTGTACCTCTTTACAAACTACACCGTGGCATGACATCAGCTGTATGTTTTTCTTTCTTCGATTTTCTCCTGTATCTATGTTTCACTTTCAACGTTTTTGACACGTGCTTATTCCCACAGGTCATACAAGATATTTGCTTTAGTAGCTATAGCCAATGGATTGCGATTGTTTCGTCTAAGGGAACTTGCCATATATATGTTTTATCACCGTTCGGTGGAGGAAACGTTCTTGAGATAAGGAACTCTCATGTCGATAGACCAACGCTTGCTCCAACATTGTCTCTCCCGTGGTGGTCGAGTCCTTCGTTTATGACAACTCATTTCTCGTTTCCTCCACCAGCTTCAGTGACTCTCTCTGTTGTTAGCCGAATAAAATGCAACAATTTCTTTCACGCAGCAAGCACCGTTGTGGGGAAATCGTCCTTCCCTTCTGGCTGTCTCGCCGCTGTTTTCCATCGATCCGTGCCACGTGAATCTCCAGCTCTGGACTATTTGCTGGTTTACACTCCATCAGGTCATGTGGTTCAATACAAACTCATTCCATCTCTTGGAGGAGACCAGAGTGAGAGCAACTCGCGAATCGGAGGAGCTTCTGAAGAGGAACTGAGAGTGAAAGTCGAGCCGGTTCAGTGTTGGGATGTATGCAGAAGAACAAACTGGCCAGAGAGAGAAGAAAACGTATGCGGGCTAACTTTCGGTGGACGGAAAATCGCAGATGATGGTTCTGATAGTGAAGATCTAGCGAAGCCTCTTGAGAAACACCATGTCTATCTTGCAAATGCAGAGGTGCTGATAAACTCTGGAAGAAAACCAATCTGGCAAAACTCAGAGGTTCTTATTTACTTGTTCTTTCCTTATGATCTGGTGATGTCTTACAGCAAGTGGCTGAATTTTTGGTTGAATTACATAAATTTTCAGATATCTTTCTATCCGATGTTTCCGCCGGAGACTGAGGGCAAGAACCTGAATTTGTACCGTGGTGGCGGGGAGATAGAAATCGAGAAAGTATCTGCAAATGAAGTTGATATAAGGCGGAAGGATCTGCTTCCGGTTTTCGATAATTTTCACAGTGTGTATTCCAGTATGCGCAGCCGGTACGTTACTTGACAAACTCATGTCTTTCAAATTGTGTACATCATACCACAATCTATAACAAAATCCCCGAGGCGAACCGAGAACGTCAGAGAATGCTATGTCGGGGATTGCAAACTGTCCATCCTTGATCCTAGAACAAATCAAGGACGAAGGTCGGTCCATTCGCAAGTCCGACCCTCTCGACCAAGACCTAAAGCTTGCCAAACACGTATCTGGGGCAAGAGCTGTGTTAGCTCGGACTAAGCTAAGATCGGATAGAACCCAGTTGAAATAAAAATAAATATGTTTTTCTTTTTTAAACAATACTACAAAAATAGTTATAGGGTTTTCAACCGCAAAACATCATTTTGCAAAAGCAACAAAAACCTACATTTAATGTTCCTTGTTTCTATCGGTTCTTTATCTTGGTTTCCAGCAAGAGAAAATAACTAACTTAGTGCTCCTTCGTTTTCTTGCAGAGGATTTCCTGTGGAACGAGATTCAGATTTTTCTTCTTCTTCTTCGGATGCAGGACAAGTTAAAGGTAATCTAAATTACTCCCTAAATTTATCCATTTTGACATTTCTCAAATCTTTAAACTGAATTTTAGCAGGTATAGTTTACCCCGAGGATGAGGAACGAAGAGGAAGTAGTTCCCATTTCGCACTAACTCCGAATCCAGACGGAATTGTAACATTCAGACAGCCTGTGGTTTCGATTTCTTCCGCTGTGAAAGACACCGACGACGCTCATCTGTCAACGAAGAACGCCTCCCTGCCCGCTGAAACAACGATTGAAAACAGCAGCGGGAGAAGCGGAGATTCAAATGTAAGTTCTAACCGTTCTGATATGAGCATGAATGCAGCGGACGAAGGTGCGGAGGGACACATTGATGGCTCCTCAAGTTTTGAGCAGTTTTTCATTGAAACTGCTAAAGAAGCAGAGACTAAGGATGCTCCATCTGATCAAGGAAAATTAGATGATGATGATGATGATGATGATGATGATGATGATGATGATGATGATGATGGTGACGATGACATGCTTGGTGGTGTTTTCGCTTTCTCCGAAGAAGGTAAAGAAGAATTCCACCCCCATAACCTTAGATTTTTTAAGTAAAGTAATCTATATATTTCAACCAAAATTAACAAAATAGTAGATATTTTAAAAAATTAATAAAATAGTATATATCTAAAACATTAATCCGTATTTCTGATTTAAAGTTTTAAACTAATTTTTAGTCTATTTTCTATTTAATGGTTTAATTTTTGAAATGAAATAAATCAACCATTTTGGATGAATATTTCATTTGCAGGTTGAGTTTAGTTTATATTATGGCCCAGCTCTAATGGAGAGGGTCACTTACTAATCCCGTTTGCTGCAACTTACACTGATGGATCTTAATATCCTGAAAAACTCTCAAAATCGATTCCCTTTATATCATATGTTTCTGTAAATACTTGTAAATGGATTATTCGTAATCAACAGTCTCTCGATTTGCATGGACTGTTTTCTTTGTTTCTTTTGTGATTTTCTTCACGTGTAACTCTATTCATTTATCGGAAAAAAAGAAAGAAAAAAAATCAAGAAAAAAATAAAGATTTATTTTTCTATAGTTGATGTTCTTACCACTTCAGTCAGCATGAGATGTGTTTTCCTATTTTTGCGTTAAACTGTCGCAATATCTGCGCAGACTAGGAATGCTCCTAAGCTAAATACAACATCAGATTTTGTAAGTTCGGGTAATTAGATACATTAAGTGTGTTTCTGCGCTAAGCCGCTTCTTTTTTTTTTTTTTTTTTTTTTTTAAGTTTATAACTACGATTATTTTTCTTTCGGTGTTTTTTAAAATTTGTATTTAGATAAATATTAAATAGATAAAAATGATTTTTTTTGTATACACATTTTTATCAATAAATACCGAAAAAGAATATACATTAAATTTATGTACTATGTATATTTTTAGTTATTTAAAAAAAAATTGTACTTTTTATCTAAATTTTGTAGAATTTTTTTAATACTATTTATAATCAAAAATATATTTTATAGCCAAGTGCTAAATATCTTGGGAAAAATGGCCAATTCTACCGTAAACTAATATATTTTATAGCCAAGTGCTAAATATTTTGGGAAAAATGGCCAATTCCACCGTAAACTAATACATTCATGATTATTCATACATCAACTATGAAGCAATGCCAAAAACTACATGAACTATTGAAAAACGGTCAATTCCACCATGAACTAGTAAATTCCTAAATTATTCATACATCAACTATGAAGCAAAGCCGAAAACTACATGAACTATTGAAATATTTGATTTTCCACCATAATCTTAGAATTGTGGTCGAAACCAAAAATATTGTAGATGTCAGACCGACATGTTGTTACTCAAAACGATGTTGTTTTGTAATTTGAGTGTGCAAAATAAAACCACATCGTTTTACCTTATGTCGGGAATTAATCAAAAAAAGTTTCTCTTCATCATTTTTTTCTGGTTTGGGAGAAATATTCACGATATCAGAACTTAAAACCCTAAAAGCAATCGAATGATGTTTTAAGTAACGAAGATCACTGCAAAATTTCTAAAATCTGATATTAACCAAAAACTTTGTCTGGAGCAACGAGGATCACTACAAAATTTCTAGGATCTAAATTTTAACCAAAAACTTTGATTGCTTCTAGGATTCTAAGATTTGAAATTGGGAAACTTTCCTCCTCTCCTTCCTCTATCTCTACCGACATCATTTGATTGCTTCTAGGGTTTTAAGATCTCATATTGTGACAATTTTCCCCAAACCAGAAAGAAATGATGAAAAGAAAGTTTTTTTGGTTAATTCTCGACATAAGGCAAAACGACGTGGTTTTATATATTTCACACTCAAATTACAAAACGACATCGTTTTGAGTAACCACATGTTGGTTCAGTCATTAACAGCTAATGGCCAAACTCACGACGTTTGTATTGTTGGTTTTAACCACAATTCTAAAGGTTATGGTGGAAATTCAAACATTTCAATAGTTTATGTAGTTTTCGGCATTGCTTTATAGTTAATGTATGAATAATCAGGAATGTATTAGTTTATGGTGGAATTGGCCGTTTTTCAATAATTCATGTAGTTTTCGGCATTGATTCATAGTTGATGTATGAATAATCAGAAATGTATTAGTTGATGGTGAAATTGGTCGTTTTCCCAAATATCTTGTATCCATTTTTGCAAACCAACAGATCTATGCTATCTCTATTCGAGATTCCTTGTTTTCAAGCAAATATTTAGCAAAATTCTCACTGTTATATAGAAAACCAGCAAGCAGATGAAGACATCATCAATCTCCTCCAAATAGACAACACTGCTCTGGTAGCTTAGTTCAACTTAAGTTTGGTGGAAAAAATGTTTCACCGAGATGGCAGAAGCACAAAAGTTCTCATAGCTTTCATGCCATGAGCTAATATCTGTAATGTGGAAGGACAAATCCACGGTATAGATCTAGTCAACTCTCGATTCCTGTTCGACTTTACTTAAGCCAGCTTCTTGAAGGTTCTCAACAAGCATCCCTACCACTTTAACAAGTGGTTTTTTTCGTTAAACGTTGGGCTACTCATGTCGGGGATGCCTTCTCAACCGCCATGACTTTTTGGATTAAAATCATTGGTATTCCCACTATTTCTGGATGGAGGAAATTTTCTATGAAATAGGAGCTTCCCTTAGCGTCGTTAGGGCAGTAGTGGTAATAACAGCTACAATCCAAGTCTCCTTCAACGCAGCTGAGCCCCTGAAATTTGAAAAACAAACCCACTTACCTACTAGAGAAATAGTGAAGATAAATCTGAAGTATAAGAAGCTATTCAGGTACATATGGTCACATCTCACATGAAGAGAGGACCTGCCCTCAGTTAACAGAACAAAAACGCATAGAAACTCTGGCAGCTAGAGAAGCGGCAAGAGTAGGGGACACAACGGCTTGGGGCCTTCCTCCTCCACCACCGCTGATGTCAACAGAGCAAGCCCCCTCCTCTTCTGTTGTGAGGCGTCATGCTAGTGTTGTAAGACCAAACAGTTGAAGCTCATTTCGAGCCATCTCCACAACTAGAAGAGAGGCTAGCCAGCGTGATACAAGAGGGACAGAAAACATCGAGAGAGACAGTGTCTAGAAACGATTAGAGTCTCGTCGTGTCTCCAACCATGAGCACCGTTGCGAACCTCAGCGCTCGTCAGGACTGCCATACTCATGAGCCCTGCAGGGGAATCTCTCTCTCTCTCTCTCTCTCTCTCTCTCAAACAGCTATGGGGAACGCTTTTACCTCAAAGACTTGTCGTATCGTAAAAGAAGATATGATGATTCTTTTGCAAAGAGTATTTAGAAAGCTCAAAATCCTAAAGAAGGAGATTCTTCTTACAGCAGCGCTTGAGCGTCTTAGGTGGAAAAGAATAAAAAAACTAAATCATCCAAACCCATGTCCCATAACCAAGGTCTACACGATATTCTAAAGGCCATTCCACGACCATCATCCTCTCAGGCAACAAAGGCACTGCTCTAGCCCCTCTAGCAAAATAATCAACGAAACAATACTGACTCAAAAGAAACGATCTATGATCCCATTCGCCACCACTAAAAATCAATTTACCAGAACTCATTCTTACCCTTAAACGGAAGTCGGCCATTCAAACTATCTCTCCAAAGCAAAACAGATGCTCGTGTGAAGGGAAAAAACATTGACGGAGGTGAAATATCAGAATGTGGTAGCTCTGCTCTGCTAAGAAAAGTCTTACCTTTGAAGACTTCAATGGACCTCCACAAATTCTTGCATATGCAGAGAACGAGAACGGAAATTTGGTAAATTTCTCTAGTCCTAGTAAGGAACCCCAAGTAGGAAGAAAGAAAAGCTGGTATGAGCTTACCCTGGAGGAAGAGGAATAGGAAGAAGAACTCCAACAAAATGTTGATAAGGCAAAATTAGAGGCTGCACAAAAAAAACTTGAGGCAGCCATTGGAGAATCCACCATGGTGGGCCACGAGATAGCAAATGAGACGAACGTAAAGGAAAAAAAGTGATGCCCTCATGGTATATTATATATTGAGGATGAAAAAGTGGATTGGAATCGGATGAAAATCTCTATGGTGAGGAATTGCTAAGAGATGATAACTTACTTGGAGAATATCTGATGGCTGAAGAATCGGAAACAGCTATGAGAAGTTCGACAAAACTGTGATACTAGGATTTTTGCAAGCAAGTCAGAATATCAAAATCCCAAACCACAACAATGATGTAGTATAGCAGTAAGGGGTATCAATCCAACCTAGAAAGCAGGAAGAACACTATGAATGCAAATGTTCAGCAAATCTAAGCAAATCGGGAAAATTATTGGTAAAATCATCGAAAACTAACTGCAATGACCAAATGAAATGCAAAACTATTTTAAATCCCTGGAAGAAGGTTAACTAACACTGAAAGAAAACATAACAAAAAAGAGCAAATCTACAAAGAACTAAAAATCGAGCACTGAATCGAGTAAAACTGACCGATCTAACGACTTAAAGCAAAACGACTTCTAATGAACAAGATGCAAGCTTTATGATAACAGAATGATGAACAGAGGTTTTAAAATGATAAAAGAGGGTTTAGGGTCGAGGGTCATATTCAAGAGTGTCAAAGGTTTAGGCTTTGGTTTGAAAACATATAGATCTACTCATTTATGAGCTTTTCCTAAGCCTTGAAAACAAAACAAGAACCATCCATGGCATGTGGTATGATTCACTTCCTCAATCTCTTCTCCAAACCCATGGCGTTTGGTGGAAAAAGAGATCGAGGAGCAAGAAAAACAGATTTCAATCTATGGCCTAACTAACCTCCTCTACAACCATGGCGTTTGGGAGAGGAAAGATTAGTCTCTAGGATCCGGTTTTCTAGGACATCTGAATCCGGTCAGGGTAAGATAGCCTTGGAATCATAGAGATCTTTTCCAAGACTCTCTAAGCCTTAAGACCTCAAGATCCTAGAAAGAAATAGATGAAGAACAAGAAAAACACAAAACTTAAACCTCTTAAAACCTTTGAATCACCTCAACCCCAAATCCCAAAAGGAACTACTCGCGACTCATGTTCGAAACAGATTCAAATGCGAAGAAAGATAAACTAAACATGATTAAACGATTGATTAAAGGAAAAAGAGACTTAATATTCGAAGATTCAAAAGTTCAAAAACTAGAAAAAGTTTAGAAGTTCTCCCATGGCTAATCGCCTCCGAAAAAGTATAAAAAGATAAGACTGAAAGTTGTCCATGAAAAGGATGGCTGCCCTTTGCCAAAAATAACCAAACCGCCAACTGGTCCCCCCTTCGCTACAGTCCAAAGCTGAGCTGGCCGGATAAGGCTCCAGAGATCGATCTCTGGATCGAGCAGCTCACTCGATCTTCTTGCTGGATCGCCTTTCTTTGCTCGATCTTCCAGTCTATCTGGTTGGATGGATCGAGCACCTTCCTCGATTTTCTTCTGGATCCTTGGATGATCGAGTCGTGGTCTCGATCTGGCTCTCGTTCTGCATGGCGTCATTCACGTCCGTACTCCAGATCGATCTCCTCTCTTGATCTTGGTCTCGATCCTTCCTCTTGAATCG